AATGGAACAAGTGGAGAAACAATCATCTCCAATATCGGTTGTGTGGGTTTGACAATGGACGAGAATGGATCTCTCTATGTTACTGACGATGTAAAAAACGAAGTGAGACGATATCGAAGAGGAGAATCTCAAGGAACAGTGGTTGCAGGTGGCAATGGATATGGAAATCGTCTCGATCAACTCTCTTCCCCTACTACGTTTTCGTCGATCGAGATCATTCAGTGTACGTGTCCGATTTAGGAAATCATCGTGTATTGAAATGGGTGGAAGGTGCAAAACAAGGCATTGTTGTGGCTGGTGGTCAAGGATATGGAAATGGTTTTGGGCAATCGTCATATCCAAAAGGAATCGTTGTCGATCAATTGGGGACTGTCTATGTGGCTGATTATTTTAATCGAATCATGCGTTGGCCCAAAGGAGCCACACAGGGAAGTGTCATTGTTGGCGGAAATGGTAAAGGAGAACAATCAAACCGACTCACTTGGCCCTACGGTTTGTCATTCGATCGGCAAGGCAATCTTTATGTCGCCGATCACGCAAATCATAGAGTACAAAAATTTAATATCGAATAAACTCACTACGATGATTAATTTTATTTTTTTTTGTTTTCTTTCTCTCAAAAATAAATCGTGATTGAATGGAAAAGAACTAATTGCTACTCTATTCACACATGCGTGGGACCAGAAACCATCCTGATGGAGCCGTTGGTGCGGGTGTGGGCCTGGGTGACGCTTTTGTCTGCACCTACTCCGATACCCCACAAATCTTCAGTCTCACAGACACCGATATCCCACACCCACACCCATTGGCTACTAATGATGCCGGATAAATATATCATTTTTTTCACCAATCGAGAAATGCTGGTTTAAGATTACGTATGGGCCCACTTCTCTTTCTGTAAAAAAAGCATCTTTCTTGTCCAATGACTTATTACCAATAGGTTGTCACAAATATGTTGCACAAAAATTCTAGAGATTTCTTAAGCTCGATATTAAAAAGTTTTCATAATCCTAACAGTGTTAATCCCTTAAAAAATATTATCTCGAGCCCTGTACAGATCTCATGGAATGATCCAAAAGTATCACTACTGACAGTCCACGAACTCTCTAAAATTGAAAGAAAAAGAACTTATTCGTTCCAGTAACTCTATACGTAATTGAAAATGGCATCACCTACAATCATACCAAAGGTAAAGGATACGTAAATATACTTAGTAAAATAACGCTGTTGCAATCTTATCTTTCTTCAAAATCTGTCAATACACTTAGTAAAATAATATTGCTGAAATCTTATCTTTCGTCCAAATTCGTCAATACATTAATAGACTAAACTTTGTATTTATAAAAGACATCAAAAGATTAGTAGGCGTAAATACTTCACACAACACCAGAAAAAAACAGGACAAAGAGAGGTGAATTATGGTGTGCATATTCTCCGCTTGATATCCAGATACAACATGACAGTTCTGACACATTCTGTCTTGTATTTTTGTGTCGTCGTTACACTCGGCACATTTGTCATCTGTTCATCTTCATCAATTAACAGCATCGCAGCAACACAAACTATTGAAATTTCCTCCACTATTAAGTATGAGTTTATTCATATCAAAGCCGTGAATGACAAACCAACTCTCCTGTTTCTCCATGGCTTTCCGTCATCGTTTCACTCATGGCGTCATCAAACTAAATATTTTTCAGAGCAAGGCTACGGATGTCTAGTGCCCAACTTAATGGGCTATGGTAAAACCTATTCTCCATTGACGAAAATGAATACAACAGCAAATCAATGATCGAACATCTGATTGCTCTTCTCGACCGTGTGAGCTTAGGTAATTCCAAAATCTTCGTCATTGGGCATGACTGGGGAGCGCGAACAGCAAGTCGATTTGTTTTGTACCATCCTGAGCGAACATTAGGCGCTGTGCTCCTCAGCGTTGCGTATAGTCCACCAATAAAATTCAATCTGACCGTGGTTCTTCAGCAGTCGTTGCTAGTTAATGGCTATGAAAGTATTGGTTACTGGGAATTCTTCGAGGCCAACGATGCAGCAGAAATTATTGAGAGAAATGTGGATAGCTTTATCGATATTGCCTTCGCGAGTAATTCGACACTGGCAAAGACCGATTTTGCTCCAGTTGGTAAGGTACGAGAATGGCTAACCAATAGAAAACGAACTAATCGGTCTTCGTACATGACAAAAGAAGACTACGCCATAGTTCACGACTATCTTGCCAGTGGAATGCAACAAAAATTGAATTGGTTCAAGGCGGTAATTGCCAACGTCGATTGGGAGTATGAGAAGACTCTTAATGCAACAATACGACGACCTGTGCTCTTTATTGAAGGCACCAAAGATTATATTGGTATTATTGGTGCCGCTGAAAGACAAAAGGTATATATCGCTGACTTGAAAATGTTTAAAGTGGACACTGGTCATTGGGTGATGGAAGAAAAACCAGAAGACGTCAATCGAGAAATCGATCGATGGATCACGATAATTATGCCTAACAACTCTACTGCTTCTTCTCTTCTTCTTGCCCCTTATCCTTGTTTTCTCACTCTGTACCTTTTTCTCACTATCTGAATAAACTCTTTCTAGTATTGTTCTGTTGCTGGATCAAGTGACACTGGAGGCGCAAATACTGGAGATGGGTCTTTCCCCTTTCCCTTCCCCTTCTCAATGTTTGAAAAATATTGCCTATTTTACGGTGTATGGGATGCCTTAATGTTGTGATTCTCCTATTATGACTTTTCCAAAATGGAAAAGTCTTGCAAACTGAACACTGGTAACTGCTCTGTTTTGTAAACCATACGCAATAGCATCAATAACTGAGAAAAATTGTCGCGATGAGGATGAGGATGAGAAGTGAGGGTAAGGATGAGTCAAGCACACCAAAACCGGTTTCAACCTTGCTTAAGGGTCTCATCAGTTGGCTTTGCATAAGATGAATGCTTCAAAGACGAATCAGATCAATAGTATGTAAGATTAGTTTACTTGATGACAACATAATATTTATTTTGAGGTGTGGATGTGGATTTTCTCTTCGCATCCTCGCCCATAGTCACAGCCACAACCACACCCGATTCGGCACATCAATATGTTATTCGAATATGTCCAAAGATGATGCTCTTCAAAAGCCATGCTAAAACTTTGTACCATCTACCTTGTTAATGACCATAATTGCACGCTGCACTGGAAATTTCTCAACAATGAAACATACTGTCGATATACAGCTTTCAGTGCTCGATAACTTTCATGGAATTCTAGTTGAAATATATTCTTGAACGAATCTGCTTTGAGAAATAATCGAATGTGAATGTAATATAACTTAAATTAGAAGAGAATGAGTATTTTCTTCGTGCAACAGGTTTTTGAATTAATGTCCAATTGAAAACAATTTAATCCAAGTTACTGATACGAAATGTCAAAAAATTGATGCAAAAATCCGCATAGTTCAACGAGAAAGATATTCAGAAATTGTCAACATCAGGCATTTAAAATCGATACTTTCGAGTGATTTAAATTATAAAATAATGTTGGTAGAAGCATGCATTCACGTATCGTCAATTATTCTTCTTATTCTGTCATCAACAACAATGGTAATCGAACACATTAGTATGAATTGTTTGCATGCTGCTTAAATAAATAAGAAAGATGAAGAAGCACAATGAAAGGAAAGAAAAATCGACAGTATTAGACGGACCCCTAGATCGAGCTCACTATGTTAGATCCCGTTGGACAGGTTCGAAATCCAGCTTCATACAGTGATCAAATCCAATGAGATACTTTCTATGTTGAGCTAGGTGTGGGTATAACTAGGATTGTTGTTGTCAGATTTCTCTTCGTCGAAACCCACACCCTCGTCAGTTTATTCGCAGTGAGTTCTTCCTTCTGGCTTCGACCATATTTGATGGATCATACATTCCTATGAAATAATCGTGTACTGATTTCTTTTTTCAAGGCAATAATCAATAGCAAACTGGTGTGATGTATCAACGGTAGAGATATTTAACTAAAAGAGTAAATTTAAATTTCATATTCTAATCCAATCATGTATTGTCGATTCTTTCGTGGAATATAGATTTTAATTGAATGGTACAACAACCTCCTTCGCTCATTCGTGTACATCAGACGGTCTTTTTAAAATGGTCGAAAATAAATATGTGCTAGCAAGTGTTCACATTAATCTCAGATAATAATGGTTGACTATGGTTTCTGATATATTTCAATACCATTCACTTGCTTCATTCTTTTAAAATATGCTTTCGTATGGATGCTTGCGTGTAGTTTAATTCCAGTCTACTTATATAGATCCAATTCTAAGTCGTATGATTCATTTGAAAATAGGATATCTGTGTAAGTGTGAGATGGATGATATATATTGTTGAATGAAAAATGTTTCCATTCATTCTTGTTATATTTAACAGTATTTTTCGTGTTGCTTTGGCTTTAATGTTAAGTCATCAATAAAGTGAAGATGTTTCATTTGGTGTAAAATCATTGCATTTACAAATGTTGTGACCGCTTCGGTATCAATTAATGTTTTGGTTTTGTATATTTGCTTGTGTGATAATGACAATTTATGAAGATTTTGAAGAATTTTCATTCCATATTTCAAAGATAACACTATCAACTAAGGGTTCAGAAACTAGAAATTTGACGAACTGCATAGTGGATATCGGGTATGGATCGATAAAGAATGAAGAAACATAGATCTATACCCATACAGGAATAATTATCTGTGTAACAAAATTTTCAACTAGAATTCTTTTAATTTTTTTTTGTCTATATTTTGTCCATAAAAAATGTGAGGATGTGAGTGTGAGTATGTGCCTTCTCTTCAATCTCATATATACACTAAACATTCATCCATCATCTCAAATTCTAGGCTTTTTTTAGTTGAACAATAAGCAATGTTGAAGAGAATCAAGATTAAAATAATAAAAATATAAAATAAAATTAATAGAAAAGAAGAAATGTCATTTGATGGCATTGCTTAGTTATTCAATACGATCGTAGTCGATAAGTAAATGTTGAATAAATACGTCCCACGAATGATCACTTAATTGTAATTGTCCACAATATATACCATTACGTTGACTTGCTTGTCGATAGAATTGGATTGCTTTGTTCATTTGTTCATTCATGCTGGTAGGTAAATGGTTGCAAAGATGAACCTTAGAAAGAGAGAGATAATTAGGATAGAAAATGAGAAGATTAGGAAAAAGAATCGATTCACTTTGATTTGTTCAATATTAAATAAAAATTGAAATTTATTCTCTTGTGAAGTTTGAGTTTGAACAACAAGCCAAATAAGAATGACACCGGTACCGATCAAACGAAGAAGTTCATTGCGTATATTCAAAGCTAACAAAATGAAATTTCATGTCTATATACGTCAATAATAAATAATTCAATATTACCGAGTGAATTAAAACCTTGTTGGCGTAAATAATGTTCGAGATCCTCGAAAATATCAGGATCGATATGAAGTACATCAGCTAAAGCTTTATTCAATGTAAATGAACCATCCTATATTCGAATCACATACAAAACAATAAATAGCTAATGAAGTTTCAATATCATACTACCTCAGATTGAAGTTTGATGAGTTCTTCAATCATTGTTGGTGTAGATCGAACATCATTCAGTTTACTGAGAAGTGGAATATCAGTTGTTTGACCTAAACTCATATACTGTTGGAATACATTTTGCAACTAATAATAAGAGATAAATTACCAAATGATGTAATAAGTTCACTAGAAAAGTGGTGTATTACAGCTTCAGTTTGACCAGCAAGCTGACAAAAGATAAAAAAGCAAACAATCAAACTATGAGAAGATGATACAATACGAACCATATACAATGGTTCATTGGACTTGCGATCATAAACTAAAAAAATAACAATAATTAAACATAATTTATTCTTTTAATACTGACCAGATTTAGCTGCAAAATCTGCATCACTTTCGACGTATGTTAGATGCCGTTCAATTTGATCTTTTGTCAATCCTAGATAAATGTAAATGATGTTTAAACATGAAATCAAATATCTAAATAGTTCTCATACTGTTCTGATGATCGGATGCGATAGTAAGTGAAGCTTTAGCACCTGAACGCGCTTCTTCAGCGTCGACATGAAGTATACCATTAGCATCGATATCGACGCGAATAGCTATTTCAAGCGTTTGAGCAGCGAAATTACTTGTTAGACCAGTAAGACTAAACTCGCCCAAGAATGTCTACAATAGAGGAGTATATCTAATAAAATCGATGTATTTCGGATACTACTCACATCGTATTTTGTCAGATTATGTTCGCCCTCAAATATGCGAATAGTAGCTGTCGTTTGATAGGCATAAGCATTTGTGAATACGGGATGAAATCCAGTTTGCTTTGGGATTGTTGTATTACGAGGAATAAATGTATGCATGTGACCGTGAATATCTTCGACACCCAGACTAAGTGGACAGACATCGAGAAGCAGTAGTTCGTGGACAGGTGCATCAAATGTCGGAGCATATTTTATTTTTGGTTTAGAGCTAAATTTTGATTTTATTCTCATTTCAGAAATGTCATCGATAGACAATGACGATTAATAATTAATCGTCGCATGTTTCTATGAAATCTTTTAAAACTTACATTTTTATTTTTTTCATCTTTTTACAAATCATGGATTTTGAATCTTCAATATTAGATGTATCGCTTCGTAATTCATCGTCATAGGATTGCAGCTAGAAGTTCATAAAATTGTCGAAAAAAAAATTGTATATTAATGTACGTACTCTGAAGTCTTGTGTCAATTCATTGAATTGAGCATTCCTCTTTCTCTCCATCTCATCACATCGTACATCTCGATCTATAAAGAAAAAGATAGGTACGTGGGTAATATTTCATTCAGCTTACCACTGATTGATCTTTGAGCTTCACTCATAGGAATCTTTATCTTACCATGTTTACCACCACGTGCTGAGATTTGTAAAGTTTCTTCTATATTCATGATCGATTCATCAAAGTAATCAAATAATTAGTGTGATTATAACTTACCAAATTTTGGCTTCAGTTGTGATCTTAGTGAACACCGCATACGGCTGCTACCACCTCGGGATGCACTTGTTGCCGTCTCTGTTGACAGTGATGTTGTTGGATATGATATTTGTGTGGATGATGATGAAGGAGAGGAAAAACTCCAAATATCATCAAGAGCCATACTGCTGAACAAGTCGTCGGGTGGTGATGCCGATTTTAAACCTAGAACAGATATCAAATTAGTGGTAGGTTACACATACAACACGTACGACTGACAATGGACTAATAAGGATAGCTTGCTACAGCAGACTAGATTCTTGCCGCTCTTCTACCTGCTCTAGGAAAAAATCAAGGGAGGAGGTAGACAAAGTCGATAAGAAATGATATGTGTAACAACTAATATGCTTAGGTGACATTGACTGTCAAAATGAAAAACTTTCTGCAAAGTCGCCCTAGAGCATCTTTAAAATAAACAACAAAAGAATTACTACAGCAATCAAATTCAAACTGCTCTGATATCTGATAATGATGAATTGAGTAAGTCATGTTGCCATTTATAGTTTATAGAAAGCAGGCTAAAAGATAGTCCATTAGTCGATGCAAGAAGCTCCATTAGAAATAAAGATATCATTTAAAAAAACTCCATCAATGTTGTATCTATTATTGAATATTGAAATTTCAAGTGATAATCGACCCACAGTGAATCTTATCATCGCTATCAAAGCAGTAATAAGGCTTAGTATAGTTTTTTTACCAGTATACCATTGTTTGTTACTTTTATATTAATTATATGTTGTGCTTTAGTACGACTTCGGAAGAAGATGAATTTTTTAACTGTAGACCAAGAGAAGATGAGCATGCTTTAACGAAAGGTAGATTACATGCAGTGCAATCTATCATTGTATCATGATATATATTTCGTCTTTTCTGAAACACTTTTGAAGTCGTTAAGTTACATTTACTGTGGAATTTTTATGATATGCCAAATTTTTCTTATGAAATGATAGGATTTATAAAGTCAATTTTGCACAACTTTCGAATTTCATTTTTTTACGATTATTGCTCAACTATTTGACTAATAGAGAAATGTTTCGTGATTCAGTAGATCATCTGTAGTATCCACCAATGAAGAAAAAAAAACACATTATCTCCTTGAACATTCGTTCACAATTGAAATTTCAGAGAAACTAAAAACAAATTTTCAGGAATAATTAATCGAATAGGCATTAAGTACATAGGTTGCATTTTGGAATGAAATATTCAACTGCAAGTTTTGACTAACGACATAACTCACTAACAAATTAACTCGTGCAATATCGAAAACGATGCTCTCACAGAATTGTGGCGAATTACACTAAGGAAATTTAGACATTTTGTTGTTACTCATTGATGCTGGAAGTGTTCGCGAGATTCTAAGGGCATACAAACATGTTTGACGAAAACTAAACGTGATTGTACCATTATTTTCGTTGGTTGCTTTAGTCTATCCTTTACTTTTCATCAAAACAATAACCAATAACAAAGCTAAGAGAAAAAAAACTTCCATACTCCTGATCGTGTAATAGAATCCTGTGAAACGAAATAGATTCGAATGTATCACGATTTGAATTCAAATGAAGTACCAGTACAGGTACGAAGAGATTAAAATTTAAATCTTACCTTCATTTGTGGTACTACTAGTGATGGGAGCCAGGTCGAAATAGTGAAGTGACGATGATGATGCTGTTGTTGTTGGCATGGGAGGAGGAGGAGGAGCAGCAGCAGCAGCAACAACAACAGGTTCAAACCCTAGAAATCCGTATTGTATTGATTAACACAAATGATGATACTGAGCAAAATAATGAATATGATCCTGTTTGTAGCTTACCAGGGGCAAATGATGGTGCTTTATCAAATAGGCCAACCGAACTACTGACGTTGCCATTGGAAATAAAACCTAACAGAGAACAAAGTCATATCGCATGGGCAACGTTAACTGACCAGTTGAAAAGTTTTGTGAAAACCTACTTGAAAGTGGCTTTTGCATATTGGTAGTGCTACTCTCAAATCCAAAAGTAGGTGGCGATAGAGATGTAGCTGGCATTTGAGGCACTATATTCGAGAACGATGCATTGTTATTGTTAGTGCTGTTTACCATTGATGAATATGGATCACAGAGCATTCCATAACTCCATGGATGCATCATTGGACCAGAAGACGCTGGTGGAGTTCCAAAAACAGATGGAGAATAGGGACTGTAAAGGGGTACGCCAGCCATAGGAGGTGGCATCGCAGAAAATGTCATCGATGCGTTTGCTGTGGGCCTTGACGGAAGAAAAGGCTTTGGCAGTCGACCTCTGCCTCCGCCTCTAGCTGCTCCTAAAGGTTGCACAAATTGTTGTAGTGACGGTGGTAGTGGCGGGCGCAGTAGTTGAGATACAGGTGCCAACTGAGACGAAGGCGAGACAACTACACATAAGAAGAAAGTGAGATTTGATTAGGGCTCGTATCAGCTACACATTAATAGATAAAAAAATAAGGATAACTCTGGACCTTTATGGTCAAAGCGGGGTTTACTGGGTTTCGAATAGAATCAACAAATTTTAAAGGGACTTACTCGAATATATTGAGAAAAATACACTGAAAAAAAAAGGTTTTCAAGAATTGAAATCAATCCGAAACTCTTTTATAGGCCTCTTACATTAGTATGAGACCTATAGAAAAATTTATCAAGTATCTAGAGAACGATTTCTTTCTGACAAAGATGAACTTTTTTCTGTTATGTTCGATCTGTTTAGTTTTACGCATACCTAGACGAGACCGTACAGAGTTGTTCTTAATAAACCTCTCGCAGACTTTTGGAGATTCATGCAAGAAGAAACTCATCTTTGTCAGCTACTTCTCATCATCGATATATGCTTGTGCAAATGTGAGCAAAAATAAAATTGCAACTTGAAAGAAATGTATGTCACTTTGATTAACTACAATACATTCGTGTAAGGAAATGTGAACAGTAAAATTATCTATCAAATTGAGTCATAGTTATTCCTAGTTGTTCAACTATTCGAAAATAAGATACTCATTTTCAACTCTAAAATAGGGGATCATATCAGTTGTTATCATTTATAAGATATTAGAAAATACAGGAACTGAATCCTGGGCATCACTAAAACATTCGGCTAATGTTCTATTCGTTGTTGAAAACATTTTGCACATTTATTCAAAAGAAGACTTCATTATGCACATTAGTAAGCAATATATGGGAGATGTTCTAGATCTGTCAAAGAATATTGTATCTCTTTTTACAAAATTTCAAAATATCATCTTTGACTACTATTAGCCTTTAGTGGTGGGTTGATAGATATCTTATCAAAAGTAAAACTCTTACAAAGTTCAAGGAATGCAGAAGAAAGAAAATATGCGAAATAGTTTTCATCAGTTGCCTTTGATAATATTCTGGATAACGTAAGAATAAGCGTCTCGGACAGTAAATAAATCTATATGTCATGGTCATAAAGATATAGAAAGATTGAAATAAATGTAAGACAATCATGAACTCTTGATCATATAAGAGCAACCTACAAGTTGCAAGAACTCTTCATATAGCTCAAATTTAGTTGAAGTTAGAAATCAACATAAATATTAATAAGCTAAAATTTATATTTTACTGTTAGGTGCGCGGCTACCGATATGACAGAAGGGAAGATCCATTGCTTCAGATGTCGATTTTTGTACTGCCCGTTGCTGTTGTAATAATGTCGAAGCTTGCATGTTTTGGCGACGTTTCTTTCTAACAGAAAACAACAATGATTAATGTGATATAGAGACTAGAAAATACAAACAGTAGCAATTCGATGGGAGATTTTGGTTGTTCTCGAATCAGTCCTTGTAGTGGCATTGGTGGTGGTGCAGGTATTGATTCTATAAAAAGTATAATGAAATGAACTTGATACTAATAACAATCTTACCTATAATCTTACTCTTCTTCTTTTCTTCAACTTTGTGATCAGCAATAGTCGTTGGCATTTGTTTGCTTTCTACTTTCGAAAATAAGTCACTTAAACTTGATTCTGTCAAGGGCTTCTCTTCATTATCTAGTATAATCTTTCTAGTGGGTAAATCATGACTTGTTGAAGCAGGTCCACGTGAGTCTTTAAACTGAGAAGAAGCTGAAACACGATGGAAATCACCACCACCGCCACCACCGACATCGCTGTCATCTTCATACTCCTTTAATGACTCTTGCTTCAAATTCATTGTTCTCACTTGCAATTTCAATAGATGTTTGACTAAAAATAATCTTCAACAGTAGCTACAAAAGACTGCTGTCTATAGAAGTGACAAATAATATACTCATTTTTGATTACAAAAAAAAAGAGAAACAGTATCAAATTAATTACTCTTCTTTGCTAACTACGACTGTTATTATTCGTAAAGTAAACATTACAGAAAATATTTGAGTACTAAATCAAATGTCTACATAACACCATTCTTCGAATCTCATATTTCAAAAACAAAAATTCAATATAACAATAATCCACATATATGACCTTTAAGACAATGAAATATATAATTTTTGCAAAAAGTTTTTGTTTTTCGAAATATATTAGGGCTGAGTGGACGAACGATACAGGAGTGTTACAGACGTTGTATTTGATTATCGATTAACGCTTATCTATTCTTCTGAAGATCGATCGATATACTGAGCGCATATGACAAGTTGAAATTGAAAACAAAATGTAACTGAAGAAAATTTTCATTGATCTTTTATTTGATTCATCTCAAGTCGTTTGAAGAGAATTTGATCCTAAAGGGTATTTGATGAGTTTCGTGATGATTCTCAATTAGTTCAGATATACACCAGATTCCATACTCGGTTGAATAGTGAAAAAAAACAAGTCTACCAAATTTTTCAGTCGCTCAAAGTTGGCGCATATCGAGCTTATCCAGAGCACTAAATTTTGTGATCAAACATTGTCTTGATCTGGATGCAATAAAAAGCCGTGAATCAATTCTATACTTTAGCCATAGATAGAACTCATTTTAGGGTATAACGAGAAAAATCGAATCAAAGAATTTTAATCTATCAATTTATTCAGAAATAGATGTCATGGTCATTATAATATTCTGAAAAATTCAGTCGGAATGAACACTTCTCTCCTGACATACCAGGTTAACAAAAATGCTGCTATTTCACAAAAAAGTCCCAAGAATTCGGTTTTTTTTAAAGTATGAAACACTTTGCAAAAAAAGAAACGTTCGTTTTAGTTGAAAATTCCAGAATCTATTAATAATCGTGACATGTACTTCTGAGCAAACTTATAAAATTGAAATTTCTTGAATCAACTTTTATCGTCACATACTGCAATAAGTTGGAAATTCGATAGAATGACCATAACTTAAGAAGAAACGTTTGATAGCTCGAATTCTTTTGAAGTTTTCATTTACACGATGAGTCTTAATTATGAGTGCAAACTATATAGTGGGAAGTAGAAATGGCATGCATCAAACATATGTCTTTTTGTTAATATAATCACAATCAAAATCAAAGAAATTTTATCATCAATTATAGTTCTTTATTGATGGAAATACAATTTGAAGAACAAAAAAAAAACGTTTTTTTTTGTCGCCATTCAAATGAGAACTACCAGAGTATGTTTTTATCTAATCCACACTGTTGATAAAACGGAACGAAATAAGAGATTTCAATTCGTTTTACTCTTTTCTTTATTGGTATATTAGTGAGCTCAGCAATCTATTAGTATGATTCATTTTTCAATTAGTCTTCTAGAACAGGTATGAAAGGGTAAAGGGTTAAGAAATCGTGGTTTCGTAGTTGCAATCGAAATTGCAAGGCATTATTTATTCAAAGATTTGTTTTATATAATCAATTAAGTGTTTCGTAATCATTTGAAATATAACATATTGAATATCACATTTAATTAAATATACCAACACTATTATCTTTGTAATAGTAGTAGAGTAAATTAATAAAAGGTAAGCGACAATTTTTCAAGAAAGCTTTGTTTTTATTGATTGATTTGAATTTCAAAACTTTTATCATCTTTTAATAAGCTTTTATTTGATTATTTTTTTATGTATATTTCACGACGATACAAACACGTATGAGTATGACTAATTGCTATTTAGTATTTCCTTGAAAACAGTGACAAAAGTTTCAAGTTAATGATAATGATGCAAGAAGTTTCATTTCCTATCTTTCACGCTATTTGAGCGATGATAAAAATTGGAATTCGGGAGCTTAAATTTGAAAACAATTCAAACAAATTCGGTGTTATCAAACTTTTCTCTTTCGATGTTCGCTACTGATAATGAAAGTTACATTACTTACTAAATGCTAAATAGGTGTACTCATCCATAGTATCCAAAATACTGAAATCGAAACTATCACTTTCATTCTCTGGTTTTGTCGATTTTAACAGTGGCTGCGATGAACGCTCCTCCAATTTACACTTCTTTTCTAAAAGCCAATGCAGACTTCAAATATAGAATATTTCGATCAGGAGTAGAAACAAATAAACTATGTACTTTTTGAAAAATAACGAGTATTAAAATATTTGTTTCTTTACAACAATATAAAATTATCTTGGTCATTAATTAAAAATTTAAGGGAATATTTAGTACTATAGCTAGAAGTTCCTGGGTGAAATCAGCATATTTCGGTTCAGTTACAGATATTAATGATTCTGTAGTAAAGTACATTCTAGATTGACTTTTTTTTTGAGATACCATTCTTATATACGAGTATCTCCTACAAGAAAACAGCTGTTAGAGCAATGCAAACCGGCTTAAAATGTAAAACTCGATACAGCTGCTGTTGCTGATCATAGAAAGATTGCTTCATACAAAATATATTTCCGGAGAAAAAATTTTCGCTTTCCTTTTTCTTAATTCTCCCGAAATGTAATAACGACGTTGTTAATGCATTGTAACAAGTCGCTATTAATGTACGATCTATGATCGTATGTCAATACGAAGGTCATAGTGTCTGACTAGCATTCGTCATGATCTGTGAGTGGCGGTGGAGAGGTTCAAAATTCTACTGTATATACTTCAACACTTCTTTTAGATCATATTTTACAAAAGTTACATAACTTACCAGAGGTCGAATAGGACGACACTGTCATGTCATCACCGAAAAGGTCGAAACCCATATCATCATCTTCATCCGATTCTGCTAATTCAAAGTGTTTGTCTAATGTAGACTTTTCGGGCGTAGGCTTCTTTACTAAAAGTAAATAAATAAAGACTCGAAATACAGAACTTTTCAATCAGAAGTAGAAACAAATAATCAATTCACTTTTAGAAAAATAAAGCCTATCAAAATATTCTTTTTTCTCTACAACGACATAGAATTCTGTTGTTCACGAAGTAGACATTATAGTAAATATTTACTGCTACACTTATAAGTTCTTAAGTGAAATTAGTCTATTTCAGTATATTCATAGATTAATACAGTGCTCGACAAAACTATAAGAACAAGATATTTTTGATTTTTTTCTACTATACTACATATCTATCTCAAACCCAAATAGTGATTT